CAAAAACTGCTGATATTGATATACCCTGGTTTTGCTGTTTTAATTAAGTTATTCAGGCAAATAAGGGTGGAAATTAGAAATGTGTTGTGGAATGTAGCCTGCCTACCCACACAGCCATGTTATAAAGGTACGTCTCGGTGTCAGCTGAGTTTATATGTTATACAAACAATGCATTTTACACACAGTAAATAAATCACAGGCTACTGTATCAATGTATTTAATTATGATATAAATGCACCCTTGCTTTCATGGCAATCCCTCATAGACAACTGTTGTGTAGGTCAGTGCATCAACTGCTGGACCTGAAAGATGATGTTAAGAGAAAATGTTAATGATATGAAGCTTTGTACAATATGTTCTCCAGATTTAAACACATCTGCATTCTACAGCAGTTTTGCATTGAAAACTATTCTAGAGTGCCTTGAATTAAATCAGCCTGACCCAGAATAATATTGTGATCACACATCGGGTCTTTTATTTGTTTTGTTTATAAATGTCTTTACAACATGTAACTTTCACTTAATTTGCTCTATTGTAGTAGCATACGTGTTGTATGAATTATCTTACATTGTTATGGTTTGTTGTATAATATTAAAGGAGACATATTATGCCCCTTTTTACAATATGTAATATAAGTCTATGGTGTCCCCAGAATGTGTCTGTGAAGTTTCAGCTCAAAATACTCCACAGATCATTTATAATATCATTTTGAAAATTTCTATTTTGAGTGGATGGAGAAACACACTGTTTTTCGGGCTGGTCTCTTTAAATGCAAATGAGCTGCTGCTCCCCGCCCCCTTTTCCAGAATAGAGCTGCGCCATTACAGCTCGGACCTGCTAAAAACATCTGTTTTGGTTCTGATTATCATGTTTATCGTGATGAAATCATGTGTTTTAAACCATGAGTTTAAACTTCAGATATACGGTTTTCTGAGCGCACACATCCGAAGCACACGGACAGAAAGCGGCTGTCACAGCATGTGAGTACTAAACTAAGTTCTCATTCACACACAAGTTTACGTTAAAAACACACGAGTTACAAAAAACAGTCGGTTATGTCGGTGAAGGTAAACAGCTGGGAAATAAATCGCATGTTTATTTTAGATCTGTGTGGCAGCAGCAATATACAGTAAATAAAAATATAAATCCACTGCTCTCTTGTCTCCTCTGAGGCTGGCACTGTAAATAGTGTTCTGTGCTTGTCTGTGCAGCCAAAGACAGAACAGTTAGCATGTTTTGCTCAAACTTTCGCCATGGCATTAGAGCTGGTACACCGTTGTTGCTTCAAAATGACGGCGCCGTGGGTGTAAACTTACAGATTAAGGGGCGGTAATATTATAATGAGATCCCTTTGCCACGTCACCAAGGGAGTGAAATCTGACGCGCTCGTTTTCTCAGACGCTTGCAGAAAAAGGCTTACCAAAACAAAGTTACTGGGTTAATCTTTTTCACGTTTCCTTGGTTGGTAGATGCACCGGGGACCTGATTATAGCACTTAAAACCTGGAAAAGTCAGATTTTCATGATATGTCACCTTTAATACAATTTACTCACCAGGTCTCATAGCAGATTTATCAGACTCACGTTTTGTCCATGTATAGTAAACGCACACAGTGATCAGACAGAGAAGCAGAAATCCTCCTCCTCCTCCTGCAACTACGAGCTGCCAGTTATTGTGGAGTGAAAACTCAACAGCAGCCAGACCTGATCAAGATCATAAATTCATCCACTTCATAACACAGTATCAGGTTTCTACACTGTTATTCCAGAAGCTTTCATGACCATTTACTTCGATCTCTACAATGTAGTCAATGGTTTCATTAATCTGATTCCACACAGCACCTAAATTCATAGTCAGGCTTGATCCACTCAGAGCTTGTTCAAAAAGGCACGGAAGCAGGATTTCAGACTGCAGTTCTGTGGTTAAATTGATTCTTGTAACATGCTTCCCTTCATTGCACACATCTTGACCTGTGTGAAAGATTGGACACAGACAAGAGCTTGATAAAGTGGAAAGAAAAAATCAAATAAGAAGTGCAATAAAAGCAGTACAGGTTATAATACAGATAATAAACATAAGACATTTACTGACCTCTGCCATACACAAGACAGCAGCAGCACAATATCCACACAGCAGAAAAACACAGTCCAAACAGCTTCATGGTCTCATCTGATCACTGAAGCTGCAGTAGAGGTGTGCACTCCGGTGAGAAATGGTGTCATTTCCCTATATGCATTTGTGAACACCACATGTGTTCAATTTGTAAGCAGCAATACCAAATAATAGTCTTCACACATGATGGTGGAATCAAAAACTACAACGAACAACTCGTTTGGACTACAACGCATATTTTCCGGGGATTTGTGATATCACAAATATCGACGAATGGGACGAGACCTGGTTGAGCTGCACTAGAGAAGGCGACGAGTGTTATCACTATGTCAGAGACACGCTAGCTTTCCCAAGGCAGACAAACTTAGAGTGGTTACTGGTTACAATCATCCAGGTTTAAATCACGCTCAAATTGATTTGATTTTGACACAATATTTACACTGAAGCTTGCAGGTGGCGTAAGGGGTGTGACATTTCCCAACCAGGCACCGAGTGCTGCCAATCACAACACACACTGGCCCAGCTAACCAATCACAGCACATTTCATATTTCAGAAGGCGGGCTTTCATTTGATACAGGAACTATTCGAGTCGTTCATCCCAGACTGAGGAGAGGGGTGACAAAGTCTTGATTTTGTTTTGGGGGTGAACTAGAACAGGCTCTCATACTAGGTTGTTCGAAAAACACATTATTTATCATTATTACAACTGTTGTAATAATGTAAAATATGTGAAAAATGTGTTTTTCAAACAACCTAGTATGAGAGCCTGTTCTAGTTCACCCCCAAAACAAAATCAAGACTTCGTAAAAGAGCATAATAGGACCCCTTTAATATTTGAAATTTGCTGTCAACCAATCACGAATTCCAGTAGTACGCTGAAGCCAAGGAGTGAAATTCCCACTCAGCTCTGAACAGTGTTGCCAACTTAGCAATTTTGTTGCTAAATTTAGCAACTTTTCAGACTACCCTAGCAACTTTTTTCTTCCAAAAGCACCTAGCAACAAATTGAGCAATTTTAAACATTTATTTGGCAACTTTTGATAAGGACTCAGACAATAAAAAGGCACATTGTCCATCCAAATTACACAAAAAGAGGAAACCACAGATGCCTAGCAGTACACACATCACGTAAATTGAGTTAGGTGCTATTTGCAATTGTTCAATTTAATAATAATAATTTGATAATTTAATAATTGTTTATTTATGATGCACTTTGTTAGTAGCTTGTACCTGCGATTGTTGATCAGTTAGTATACTGTAAGAAAAATGGAAAATCTTTCAGGATATTATCGATTATCCATCATCCACTGTAACCCTGCAACCCGAAAAAACAATGCGTAATTTAAAATACAGGTAAAATTCTTTCATATTAACATAGTAGATTGTGCCTTATTTTTACAGACTTTTCTTAGAGTGTAGCATACTAACTAACTACTAATACACTGCTTAAAGCATATTAGTTGAGAATGTGTAGAGTTTACTAGCTCTCACGCGCACACAACATATCTTTGCGACATTGCAGCCTCTTCATGGACCTTTTTCACATTTCCGGGTTTCTCAGCAGCGGAAGTCGTCATAGTTGGGTTAACTTGAAGAGCAGTGAATGGGAGAGTACCACAAATATATTTTTTGCATTCCCATTTGCTCAAATAGCAAAAGAAAAACTCCACGATAGTGTTTTCATGACTTTCAATAAAAGGAAAAAAATTGAGAGAGACTGATAATGGCTGCCAGAAGAGAGAACTATGTCAAATTTACCATCTGTCCCATAGATGCTGCATTAGAAACACCCTCGCATTAGCGTTAACTGTTTTTTTTTTTGTAATTTGATGCAAAGGTGATATAATACAAAGAATGATGTTATAAAAAAATACAAATATGAAAAACTTTCGAGGATTTACGATGCTGATGACCGTTAAACGTGTCATCACAGTCTTGTGAAAAGGGTCCATTATCAAAATAAAATACAGTTAAAGAAACAAATAAAAAGTTACACTGCTCCGTTGTGCAACATTTGTTGCGTTCAGCGTGACCAGCTGTGCTGATATAGCCAATGTAAAGGATGATGAAGTACAAAGCCTGGCCTATAATAAATATTTTAGCATCCATATATGTCGTGAATATGGAAACATTTGGATTCGTGCCGAACGAGAGAGGTAGGCATCAGTTTCACCTTAAATTAATTTGTTTTTGGATTGACGTTTTTATAGCCTAAACACATAGCCTTAACTTTAGAGGATTTGTTGTGGAGAGAAACTAATTGTGTTTATAATGTTTGTAAACATTTTGCTTTAGCCTACCAGCATTTTAGCCTACATTATATCTTAATGTAATGGGGCTAATAAAATGCGCCGCGAGCCTATACGCGACTTTTTTTCACTCTCAAAACGCAATCTTATACAAGGAGCGGTTTTTAACAATGCAGCAAACATGTTTATATATCTTAAAATACTTTTTTTTCTCTTTTTCTTTTTTGAGTAAAGAAAACGCTGTACTTTATTATTATTATTAGGCCTATTATAGGCAAAGTTATTAACCGTTATTTCTTCTACCCGAACCGGTTTCAGAACGGTAATAATACAGAGGAACGCAGGAACAGAAAAAAATATAGATCCTGCTCTGAGTGAACCGACTGATTTTTTTTTTCGTTTTCAAGCCCTGTTTAGAAATGTTAAGTAAATGATCTGATGCTATAATAGTCAGTTCTGTTCTGACTAATGCAGCAGCATTCAGAAGCAGAAGTGATGCTGGGGAAGTATAGGGCCTACCCAAAATTGAAAATTGTCATCATTTATTCACCCTCATGTCATTCCGGAATCTTCTTTTCTATAGAATCTTGGATTTTTTGGTAGTTGATTGGAAAGAAACACAGTAGAGATAGGAAATTCAGCACTGTTTGTTTCAGAGAGGTGGAGCTCTGTTCTACTTTATTGATTGGTCTGCACATTTCTTATCCACTACTGAGGAGACAGTGATACAAACACTGGATTTTCAAAATCAGGGGACAAGTTACTTTTTCAAGTCTTGATTCAGAACAGAAAAAAATGAAAGTCACCCTTGCAAAGCTGGACTGTAAAATAGACTGACGTGATGAGCAATTTTAATTTTCTTTAAGATTCAAGTTTCACCATTTTTTGTCAATGCCATTGTAAACACTTGACATCCCGTTAAAACGGGATGAATATAACATGGATGCTGAAAAATATTATAAAATAAAATGAACGTGGAAAAAAAAAAATCCAAACATGAGCTCAACATTTTTTAGACTTCTGAAGAAAACGAAACCATCATATTAAAGGTGGTGTTATTCAAACAAAGCAGAAGCACATGAAATGGGGGGGGAAGCAGGATCAAGAGATGCCTCCATTAGCTTTCATCACATTGAACTATTTTTGCAAGTAACTAAAACTGAGCTTATTCACTTTCAGACAGAGATATTCAGATCTCTGATCAAGTGCTGCTACTCGGCAGCAGCTAAGATAAATGGTACCGATTTTATACGCTTAATCCAAGTTTAGAAAAAAAAACTAGCTCAAATTTCCAAGAATTGAAAATGCAGATAGAGTAAGAGACTGAAACATGAATATATCTCAAAGCGTCCCAGACCTCTTCATGACATTGAATAACTTAGATTACAGGTAGTATGATTTGAAGATTCTCAAAATTACTAAAGAAAAAAAAGTGCAACAATGGTGCAGAGATGTATCAAGTTTGGTACTTCCTCTTTTTATCTTTGTATTTTTGTTTTGTGGTCTAAGAAAATCACACGTTGATAGAACATACACGTTATACGTGCTCCTTTATGATTAGTAAAAGAGGATTTACAAGTATATTCTCCCTAGAAACAAATTCATCTTCAAAAAGCAAAAAGGTTACTGGGGAGGGGTGGCAGACCTTGTACAACTTCTAAGATAAGCCCTGTTAGAACAGTTAGCAACCACAAGATAAAGATGACGCGTGTCAAACTGTCAGACATTCAACCGCAGGGCCAAACGCTCTAAACAGATCTGCAACAGGCCACTACTGAAGACTAGAACCAATTTGAAAAGAAAAAGAGAGAGAAAAACAAAAGAAACATTCATCTCATGTCTGAAGTGAATCAGACAAGCTCCTACACCAAAAAAAAGGCTGATGTCTTGTCCTCCTAATACAGCTGACGAATGATTGTGACTTCCTACCTAAAGTAACAGGGCAGAGAACATCTCAACAGTGCTGCACAGACAGGCTCCGCATCTGGAGGGACAAAGTTAATGAAGTCCTTTTTGTGTTTTATTTGGAGTAGTTTCGATTAGACCATTACTTTCAGATGCTGGAAGCTCAATGCTCTTCGCCCGAATGACCACAATAATCTCCACAGTGTCTTGTTGCACCCACCGATCCATCCAACTGGGATAAATTTAAAAAGCAATGTTAAAATGCAGAAAGAAAAAAAAAACCGAGTTAAAGGAAAAACACTGCAAAAGGTTACTCTATTTACAGACATTGATTTTTTCTTTTTTTAAAGAATTTTTTTTTTACAGAAACAAATTTTCAGCAAACAAGTCTCTTTACAAGTTCTTCATCCTTTTGACGTTCACGTCTCTATTCACTTGGGATTTGTCTAGTTCTCGTCCCCAAATGGGCAAAAAAAAAAAAAAAAAAATCAAAGCTTCGGATTTAATCCTGAAAATCAGTGGCTCTCTGCAATGCTCTCTCTGACCACCAATGGGCACCAAAGTAGCACCAAATGTACGTCCTCCTTCCCAGCAGAATCTCACTCTCAAATGGCAGTGAGTGGGATTCATAAAGACAGCGAAAGGAGGGCGATGGTGAACAGGAGTGGGGCATGGACGCTTGTGTAGGAGAGGGAGGCGATCACCTGCCTCAGTCGTCGCTGTCCGAGAGGGTCTCGTACTGCTCTGACAGTAGCGGTGGCTCTCTCTCCCATGCGCGCGTTGAGGCCACGGGGCCAGAGGCGCCACCCTGTGGCTGCTGCTGCTGGGACTGCATGGAGGGAGATGGGCAGGCCATGGAGGTGGGAGGGGTACTACTGAGCATGCGCATCGTCAAGGGGTTATAGGGGAACTGCATGGAACCTTAAGCAGGATGAAAGAGAGAAACAATCATTTTAATTTTCAACTAATGTCACCAACAAAACAATTTCATCTAACAATACACAAACAAGTCGCTCACCTGTGGACGACGGCCGGTCCTCCCAAGCCCAGGTAGGAGCCTGTCTGTGGTAATCGCCCTCCGAATGAACCGAGGACACAGAAGAGGGCCGCTCTCCAGCAGAGTACGCCTGGCCTGGGTTTGGAGACTTTGATTTCCTGCTGCTAGCTTTGCTCTGAAGCTTCTGTTTTCCTGCTATGGAAGCAGAAAGATTGGCAAGGATGTCAGCAGTGTGGTTTATGTCCTAGACACAGATTTGGTCTGGTCTTGAATGAAAACATTCAGAATAGAGGTATCACAATATTTTTGGTATTTACAATAACTGTGACATTTCAAAAATGTAATTTTGATTGGTTGAACCACTGATGTCACATGGATTTTTTAAATGATGTCCTTACTGTGTTTCTAGGCCTTGAATGTGTCAGTTCTGTTGCGGTCTATGCACTGTCAACTGAATGAAAACATTCAGAATAGAGGTATCACAATATTTTTGGTATTTACAATAACTGACATTTCAAAAATGTAATTTTGATTGGTTGAACCACTGATGTCACATGGATTTTTTAAATGATGTCCTTACTGTGTTTCTAGGCCTTGAATGTGTCAGTTCTGTTGCGGTCTATGCACTGTCAAAAAGCTCTCGGATTTCATCAAAAATATCATAATTTGTGTTCCAAAGATGAACAAAGTTCTTACAGTTTGGACTGACATGAGGGTGAGTAATAATTAATGACAGAATTTAAATTTTTGGGTGAACTAACCCTTTAATACTGCACGTGTGATAATATCATAATTAATCCAGCGTCAGTAACTATCTGGTTTTCGCATCAACACAGTAGGCGGTGATATTACACCTCATCACTGGTTGCCACCGATTACAAAACTTGAAGACAATGACGCCGTTTGTAGATCTTATTGCCGCACAAAATCATGTTGGAAGAGATGACAGACAAATGCAAAACACTCTACATGCACCTAAAAAAATTATCTTGCCAATGTGGGAGTTTTTTATTTATTTATTTTTTTTTAGCAAAAACAAGAAAAGTTAAGACAGTCTGTAGGAAGTGCCAATCAACAGCAAGTTCTTTTCAGAAACTTTTGTACAGTTACAAACTCTCTCTCCACCTCCCTAAACTCATATTTTGAGTGTGATTCATTTGCCAAAAAAGACAAAAACAAAAAGATCAATTTGACAGATAGCATCATTTATTTCTTTTCTTTTCTATAGATGTCATAAAAATATGATTATCGTGAATTCTTTTGGTTGTGATAAACGTAATAAAAATCTGATATTGTGACTGCCCTAATCCAGAGTGATTACCCACAGAAGACCAGTATTATCTGTGTAATTATCACACACAGATTACACTTTTTTTTGTGGCAATTAGTCAAACCACAAAGCAATCTGTAAAAAGTTCAGCATGTTGGTATGAGTTTTTATGTTTTAGGGAAAATGTATGTTCATTGCTGTGAATGTACAGTATGAACCTGTGTTAGGGGATGGGCTGGCCTCCTGTCGACCGTCTGAAATGCTGCTCATGCTGCCTGAGCCGTTTCCTGTCCCCAGCTGGGCTTGCTGCTGCTGTGGCTCCTCCTGCTTCTCCTCCATGTTCCAATTTGTGTTCCAAAGATGAACAAAGTTCTTACAGTTTGGACTGACATGAGGGTGAGTAATAATTAATGACAGAATTTAAATTTTTGGGTGAACTAACCCTTTAATACTGCACATGTGATAATATCATAATTAATCCAGCGTCAGTAACTATCTGGTTTTCGCATCAACACAGTAGGCGGTGATATTACACCTCATCACTGGTTGCCACCGATTACAAAACTTGAAGACAATGACGCCATTTGTAGATCTTATTGCCGCACAAAATCATGTTGGAAGAGATGACAGACAAATGCAAAACACTCTACATGCACCTAAAAAAATTATCTTGCCAATGTGGGAGTTTTTTATTTATTTATTTTTTTTAGCAAAAACAAGAAAAGTTAAGACAGTCTGTAGGAAGTGCCAATCAACAACAAGTTCTTTTCAGAAACTTTTGTACAGTTACAAACTCTCTCTCCACCTCCCTAAACTCATATTTTGAGTGTGATTCATTTGCCAAAAAAGACAAAAACAAAAAGATCAATTTGACAGATAGCATCATTTATTTCTTTTCTTTTCTATAGATGTCATAAAAATATGATTATCGTGAATTCTTTTGGTTGTGATAAACGTAATAAAAATCTGATATTGTGACTGCCCTAATCCAGAGTGATTACCCACAGAAGACCAGTATTATCTGTGTAATTATCACACACAGATTACACTTTTTTTTGTGGCAATTAGTCAAACCACAAAGCAATCTGTAAAAAGTTCAGCATGTTGGTATGAGTTTTTATGTTTTAGGGAAAATGTATGTTCATTGCTGTGAATGTACAGTATGAACCTGTGTTAGGGGATGGGCTGGCCTCCTGTCGACCGTCTGAAATGCTGCTCATGCTGCCTGAGCCGTTTCCTGTCCCCAGCTGGGCTTGCTGCTGCTGTGGCTCCTCCTGCTTCTCCTCCATGTTCCCCATCAGAGCCTTCCTGATGATGTCCTCCAGACCCAGATTACTGGCTGGATCACTAAACGAGTGGTTTCTAGGGTTTACACTGCCTGTAAAACAAACATATATGCACATATCGGAAACACTGAAAACCAATTTAAGCGTTTAAACTATAACAAACACAAACAAATGAAAATACATCAAATAATGCAAGTGCTGATTTTTTTATGTAGAAATTAATCATATTGATGATGTTGTGAAACTCACTTGATGTTGTTACTGCTGGGAGATTGAAGATCTCTGTGCCTGGCTGAGCATTACCTGTTGAGATAAGGAGCAAATGGGAGTAAGAATTAGGTGCTAATCAAGTGGCAGCTGTCTAAATAAAAGACATCAGTGTAACAGTGCAGTGAAATAAATTTTCTGAGCTTGAATGTCAGTTTCTGAGAAAACGGGCTTGCCGTTGTCACTCACCGACTTCTGCTTTCCGGAAGATCTCCTGCTTTTTGGACATAACCATAGGAGACGTGCTTTCCAGTTTGGTGAAGAATGAGGGGAGGTAACTGCTGCTGCCTGGTGACCGCGAGTCAGTCCTGACACAAAAGAAAGGTCTAAGGTCACACAATGCATATGGCACAGGAAATTTGGGTAGCCCAAAATAATTAAGACAATAAACAGACAACAGTTAGAGGATTCAGGTATACAGGCAGTCCATATTGCATTTAAACTATTTTATTACAACATTTTAATTTTCTTTTTAGTATTTTTTCTTCATCATTCATTCATCAAAAATGACTAATTAAAAAAAAAAAGCATAAATAAAGCCTTATACTTTGAAGTAGAACTGACAATTAATTTCTACCTCTGTTCAGGGAGATCCTGCTCTCGTCTCTGACTCTGCACTACAGTGGCTTCCTGTTTATCCAACCCAGAATAACCCTGAGGAGGAGAGATGGGCTCATAGTTCTCTGGTCCTCGTCCTCGATCAATAAAATAAATGACATCAGTGTAACAGTGCAGTGAAATAAATTTTCTGAGCTTGAATGTCAGTTTCTGAGAAAACGGGCTTGCCGTTGTCACTCACCGACTTCTGCTTTCCGGAAGATCTCCTGCTTTTTGGACATAACCATAGGAGACGTGCTTTCCAGTTTGGTGAAGAATGAGGGGAGGTAACTGCTGCTGCCTGGTGACCGCGAGTCAGTCCTGACACAAAAGAAAGGTCTAAGGTCACACAATGCATATGGCACAGGAAATTTGGGTAGCCCAAAATAATTAAGACAATAAACAGACAACAGTTAGAGGATTCAGGTATACAGGCAGTCCATATTGCATTTAAACTATTTTATTACAACATTTTAATTTTCTTTTTAGTATTTTTTCTTCATCATTCATTCATCAAAAATGACTAATTAAAAAAAAAAAGCATAAATAAAGCCTTATACTTTGAAGTAGAACTGACAATTAATTTCTACCTCTGTTCAGGGAGATCCTGCTCTCGTCTCTGACTCTGCACTACAGTGGCTTCCTGTTTATCCAACCCAGAATAACCCTGAGGAGGAGAGATGGGCTCATAGTTCTCTGGTCCTCGTCCTCGATCAGGAGACCTACCTGGCCTACGAGAGACAGATGGATTAGAGGCTGCTGCTGGGACATTGTTTTCAGGGTGTAAAAAGCATCTCATGCATTTTGGAAGGATTTGTGTATGTGACCAAAGGTTCTCAGATCAGGTTACACAGATTACTTAAAGAGGCTGTAAGCAATGTTAGTCCTTCTAGAACTTCAGCCAGATGTAACCAATCACCTCTTTATTTTTTCAAAACCCGCCTGTAAAGACACTGTTGTATCAATGACAATGTTGTATTTAGAGACGGGGCAAAAGAGCAGTGTTGTCACAATTGTACAGCTAAAATGTCAATGATCCGATTTAACAACTATGCTCTCAGCTTCCTACTTCACAAAGGCTTGTGAACGCCATTCCTGTGTAATGAGCAAAAACTACAAGATTTGTAATTGACTAAAGGAATCTAACTTTGGCCAAAACAACTAATTTATTTCTTTTTTGGCAGATTACAGAGCCTTTAGCTGTCACAGAAGCATGCATTTAAGGGCACACAATTTTTAAGTTAACCTTTACGGTCGTTGTGTTTTCAATAGAGGCTGTTTGTTGGGTGTGCCCATATACAAATATTCACATACACTATCATTCAAAAGTTCGGGGTAGAGCAAGGCCATTGTAATGTTTTTTTGCTCACCAAGACTGAGTGAAATGTTTGGAGGTGTACTTACACACTGTGTGTTTGTGTTCATACGTACCTGGCTCTTGGTTTATCGGAGGAGTTCTCGGGAGATACTCTGCTTGGTGGTCTCTGGTGGTGTGCAGTAGGAGCTGGGTTTTCTGGGCTATAGCGGTTATGGGGTTTAACTCGACCTACAACACCTCCCACACCAGAGCTCTGGAAAGTGGAGGAGAGCGAGGAGGAGGATGAAGAGGAAGGCAGCGAGCTGGATGATGGGGGAGGATCTTGGCTCTTGGCAAAGTCTTGCGTAATGATATGCTGCAAGACAGAGAGAAAGAATGAGGGCAATGACAGAGGAATGATGTGACAAAGCATCAAGAGTATGAGTGTGACTTACCGAAATGTGGTCAGCAAGGGTCATGATGCGGTGTGTTTTCGGGACGGGCCCATAACTGTCTGCGTGCAAGGAGGGGGGCTGTTGAGGTGCAGAAGGTCCTGAATCTCCTGACTGCCTGTACCGGTTAATGTCGAACCTTAATCCTATAAAGCATAAGATCAGATCCCCCCAAAAAAAGCAGACGGGGGTAAAAATTTTCCTGTCATGAAAATCATTTTTACAATTTTCTAAATAATATAAATATATTTTCTTTTTGTTGGTGAAATATAACCTGGATGTGATCCTGAAATATTTAACAAGATTCACCCCATCTTGACAGAACAGACCTTCTGATCACGTTCTTGACAGACCAGGGATTTGAAGTCTCACCTGAGCTCTTTTCTGATGGGAAAGGTCCTTCGTTCTTCTCTTCTCTTAGGGCTGGAGAGTTAGCTGGGCTGATCACCTCAATTCCACCCTGAGCATCATAACGACTGGATGACACTGAACGACATGTAGACATGATGTTACAGCTTTTTAGGTAAATAAAGTTGGTTTGTTAGTAAGATTTAGCTCACTGCCTTCAACCTGCATCTAAATAAACACTTGCTAGTGTTCAACAGAAAAAATAACATGTGACTTTTGATGCTTTTCTGTTCATTTTGAAGACAACATGCTTTGTTACAATTAAATCCATCTGTTAATATCTGTGTGAATATTGAAACCTTAAGTGCGTATCATGGCATCACCACATAATGAGGCATAAAAAAATTAGCAGATTACCCAGAAGTTGGCATCGAAACAACCTTCTAGCAGCCTTTACAGTAAGTCACTTAGGAAAGACAGTGAATTTCACTCCCATGGTAAGAGCTACACACCCTTTAATGGAATTACCCTGTCAAATCTGAGGTCAGAAGTTTGTGACTGTTGTCAGTCTCCGTTCCAGCTGGGTCACAGGTTGTGCTATCGAGGTTTCCTAAGACTATTAGGTCTCATGGCCTCAATGGCACTAGCCATCCTATTATGTGTCCTGTTAATGCCCTCTGTTAGGAAATCCCTAAGTATATGCCTTGTCTTTTACGTTGTTCAATTTCTTGAATCATTCTTTTTGCCTCTGAGCAGGATATAAAGATGCTGGTGGCACTGTGACCAAATTGCACAAATCCTGCATATGGTGAAACATATCACTTCCTGTTTGCTCTGCTTTGTGGCATGTACACTACTGCTCAAAAGTTTGTAGTCAGTAAGATTTTTCTTTCTGAAAAGAGAATACTTCTATTTAGCAAGGATGCATTAAATTAATCAAAATTGACTTAAGACATTTGTTACAAAAGATTTCTATATCAAATACATGATTTCTATTCTAAGAATCCTGAAAAAAATATCAGTTTTCACAAAAATATTGAAATACACACACACAAAAAAAATCAATATATGCATTGATAAAAATAAAAGTTTTTGAAAACGAAATTAGCATATCTGAATGATTTCTGAAGGGTCATGTGACACTGAAGTCTGGACAAATGGCTGCTTAAAACTCAGGAATAAAATGTCATCTTAAAATATATTAGGGCTGTGCGATATGACGATATATATAGGATGGACGAAATAAAAAGTCTATCGTTTCATATTATGCTCTATCGTTTATTTCGTGGTGTCACAAAATACATTGTTTACGGTAATACTTTTTCATCATTTGGATGACTGCGATCTTTACACGCCACCACAGGGCGTGAAGGGGAGACAGAACCAGGTGGAGAATGACCAGCCAGGACAAAACAAGGAGATCCTTCCTAAACGAGGGACTATATCTGTAGCATGGACATGCATTTTTAAGCACTGCAGTTTTAAAACAACCGATTTTAAGCCGTGCGCCGTCTCATTTTCTGTGTGAGAGGAGTGCACATTTTTTACTGCTTTATTGGCTTTGAACGATTACATAAACATACTTATATGCGTCAGAATCCCCGTCTTTGCAAGTATCCTCATAAACAGTGATTTAGGTCTTAAGAGATAGTAAACAGCTGAAAAAGAAAACGCATATGTAACAGTATATTGGATCCGGACTTCGATCTTAAAGGGGACGCTGTCCAATGTTTGTCCTGTCTGCCATTCATATTAATCAAACAACAGTGAGAGAAAATCTCCCACTGCTCTTGACTAAATAATTTTTGTAACTTTAATAAGAAGAAATAAAAAAATAATAATGATATATATTATATATGTATAGAATCTACACATAATACACGTGTTAACTATATCTATCAATCGATAGATATAATGAACACAGTGAAGACTAGTTAAATTTACGCAATGTATGTAGCATTTCTTATTTATTGTAGTTTTTTGTCCTATTGCTTGCAATTATAGTTTATTTTCCTTATTTCATCACTGACTGTTTATCTTCAGTGAGCTTGGGGATTTTTTTTTTCTCTTTTTAGACTTGTATTAGTTTGACATTGACATTGGTGATAAGGATTATGAAAATTCTATGGTATCAAAGATTTTAATATCATAAAAACCTTTTTAAAAGAAAAATAAAATGTCATCTTAAAATATATTAGGGCTGTGCGATATGACGATATATATAGGATGGACGAAATAAAAAGTCTATCGTTTCATATTATGCTCTATCGTTTATTTCGTGGTGTCACAAAATACATTGTTTACGGTAATACTTTTTCATCATTTGGATGACTGCGATCTTTACACGCCACCACAGGGCGTGAAGGGGAGACAGAACCAGGTGGAGAATGACCAGCCAGGACAAAACAAGGAGATCCTTCCTAAACGAGGGACTATATCTGTAGCATGGACATGCATTTTTAAGCACTGCAGTTTTAAAACAACCGATTTTAAGCCGTGCGCCGTCTCATTTTCTGTGTGAGAGGAGTGCACATTTTTTACTGCTTTATTGGCTTTGAACGATTACATAAACATACTTATATGCGTCAGAATCCCCGTCTTTGCAAGTATCCTCATAAACAGTGATTTAGGTCTTAAGAGATAGTAAACAGCTGAAAAAGAAAACGCATATGTAACAGTATATTGGATCCGGACTTCGATCTTAAAGGGGACGCTGTCCAATGTTTGTCCTGTCTGCCATTCATATTAATCAAACAACAGTGAGAGAAAATCTTCCACTGCTCTTGACTAAATAATTTTTGTAACTTTAATAAGAAGAAATTAAAAAATAATAATGATATATATATTATATATGTATAGAATCTACACATAATACACGTGTTAACTATATCTATCAATCGATAGATATAATGAACACAGTGAAGACTAGTTAAATTTACGCAATGTATGAAGCATTTCTTATTTATTGTAGTTTTTTGTCCTATTGCTTGCAATTATAGTTTATTTTCCTTATTTCATCACTGACTGTTTATCTTCAGTGAGCTTGAGGATTTTTTTTTTCTCTTTTTAGACTTGTATTAGTTTGACATTGACATTGGTGATAAGGATTATGAAAATTCTATGGTATCAAAGATTTTAATATCATAAAAACCTTTTTAAAAGAAAGAAGAAAAAAAAACTACATTGTGATAAATATTGTTATCGTGATATAAAATTAATCATATCGTGATATAAGATTTTGGTCATATCGCCCACCCCTAAAATATATCAGAAAATAGTTCTTTTAAATTGTAATAATATTTCACAATATTACTGTATTACTGACCAAATAAATGTAGCTTTGGTGAACGTATGTTTTTTTTTAAAGTCTCCAAACCTTTGAATGGTAGTGAACATATGGACTCAAGTCATGAACTGTACAGAGTTACGCAACTTCTGTTGTTAGTAAACTGATCATCATTATTATAACTCAACATAAAAAAAATAAAGACTGTCTATCTGATGACACTCACTGCTGCTGGAGGAGTCAGAGCTCTGTGAGCCTCTCTCACGGGGTTCCTTATCTGGGGCAATCTGGCGCGTGATGATGACATCAATAAAGTTTGCAGCAGTTATGGTGGTCTTCCCATGTGTGCGTAGCTCCTCCTCCATGCGTGACTTAGTGGGTGGGGCTTTCTCTTTGCTCCCTGCAGCTCCTCCACCCTCTGCATACACAGGATGGGAAGGTTTCCCACTAGGAAGTAACACGTCCCCATATGGTGACTGCACGGAACGGCGCTCCACCTCTTGCGACTCCTGTGCTGCCCGTCGTGATGTCATCATATCATCATCCCGGGAGCTACTGTTATTATGCTTGCCCTCCTTGACTTTTGCAACATCCATCTGCGGGGCAGAGGCAGCAGCGTCCACCAGGGCGGCGAGTGCATCAGCTGCATTGCTGTATCGGCTGGCTTGAGCTGCAGCTGCTTGTGAGGGCATTTGCCTGAACAACCGAAACAGGAAGAAGTTTAATAGAGCAAAACTAATTTTAAAATGCATAAATTAAAAGGGATAGTTGACCCAAAAATGAAAACTGTCATCAATTACTCACATTCATGTTGTTCAAAACACACAAGAATTTTGTGCATCTTTGGAACACAAATGAAGATGTATTGAAAGAGATTTCTGTCCCTCTATTGAAATTACACCAAAACATTATATATATATAATGTTCATAAAGTGATTGCAAAAGAATTCCAAATGAATTGAATGGTTTAATCCAAGTGTCCTGAATAGGTATGATCACTTTATGATGAACAGATATAACTTCAGGCTTTTATTCACATGCAAACATTGATCAACAAACATGGTAAACAGTAGGGCTGTTAAAAAAATTCGAATATTTGTCGAATTTAAAATAAAAATCCACATTCTAATGCAAAAACGTTGCATTCGAATTTTAGGTGTGCGTTAAGGAGGCAGCCTTATCAGTGTGTGTCGTTGCATTATAATGTTTTTGTTAGCCTATCCAGTTGAAGCCACTAGATGCAGAGCTGCTGCGTTGTTCATTAAAAAAAACATAGCGGAAAAAGAGAACATCAACGTGGAGAAGATCTTGTTTACATCAAAACCGAAACCAAGCCGTTCACACAGAACGCATATTTCACACATTTTCTAGATTTATATCTATTACTGTTGCACTTGCGTCTCGCACAAAAGAGCCGCAAGTTTAGAAAGCCATGTAAAATTAATGCAAGTTTAACTTTGAAAAAAACATATATTGAGACTTTATGGCTGGTTTTTCCCCATCCCACTGCATCTCATGTTTTTAAATGAAAAATTTTATTTGAAACATTATGCACTTTTTTTTCGCAGATAGTCATGTTATCTTATGCTTTGAATGATGTGCCCTCTTGTGGCCTCAGGAGAGAAGCCAAAAGCTTTTCTTCACCCTAACTTGAAATTATGCATTTTAAATTCGAATATAATTTGAATTTTGATAATATTTAAGTACAAAATTTGAATTTAGTTTTTCAGCCATTTTGACAGCCCTAGTAAACAGAAGGCCAACTGTACTTGCTTGATGTTTGAGAACCAGTGAGGTATTATGCTTCGAGCAAGTTAAAAATATGTTCATTTTCACAAATGTTTTTTTTTTTTAACTATTTAAAGATGAGTGAAAGATGACTTTTTTT